GCGCCAGCCCCCCATAAGAAAAAACTTGGTTAAAAAAAAAAAAAAAAAGATAATGAGTGCTATTTTGCAATAGATTGCCCTAATTATAACAAATGTATGTCCTTCTCCTTTTCTGGTATTATTCTGGAATAAATATTAGTATAAACTAACCCTTAATAGACATATGGTGTGGTTTCCTTATATCGGTACGAATTAAAAATAGGAAAAACATCCCTTTTGTTCAAAAGAAGCACGAAACAGTTTCTAGAAGGATTAGTCCTTAGTAATAGTTCATGACCTTAGAGTGTAGAATCTGTCAATATTTCGTATTTTGATAACCTGAAATTAGTTAATATTTTATGTGTTCATTGTTTGCTCTTCCCAGCATCCCAGTGGAAGGCTTCTTGCCCACCTTTTACAGATGAGAAAACATGCTCAGAAAGGTTAAGTAGCTCACAGCTATTTGGGTAGTAAGTGACTGAGCCAGGGTTCAAATTCAGGTCACAGGGTGATGATGGAGCTGAGGTCCAATAATACTTTTCCCAGAGATCTCTCGAAAATGCTGATAATGGTGACTCTCGCTTAAACTCCATATCCTTTCAAAGCCTACACTTCTTTATATTATCTGTCCTCTCTCTTCTGTTTTAATTTTGCTAAGTTTGAGTGACTTGACACCTAGACTATGGGGAAGGGCAGATGTTCGTGGACGGTGTACAGGGAGTGAAAACATTTGTCAATGAAGGTGAACAAAACCACTCACAAAACTCAGTTGTCTTGTGGGGACTGTTAACAGCCTGAGTGACCTGTCCGGTATGACAGGCTAAAGGCCAGGTGCTTTGGGGAGTCAGGATGGGTCACGGACGTAGCAGGTCAGTGCAGAGAGAAACTTCTTCAATTGGCAGTCACCTCCTCGGCGCCTAGAGGTGGAGGCCCGGGTGTATGTGGTCCTGCTGCCCACTTCCCCTTTAACGGAGTGGAACTGAGTCTTGCCAACGCATTTCTTCTGTTTTGTTTCAGAGGACTTTGTGTGGATGCTCTCATCGAACTGTCTGATGAGAATGCCGACTGGAAACTCAGCTTCCAGGAGTTCCTCAAGTGCCTCAACCCATCTTTCAACCCTCCCGAGAAGAGTATGTCTCCCTGAGAAGCAGAGGGCTGTAGGGGGTGGGAGCATTTTAACAGGGGAGGTGAGAGAGAGGATTGGTGGAACTCTCCACTCGACTCCCATGGTTCTATACTGAGCCCCAGCCCATCTTCATTGTGATGTTGGGATCCACAGGTCTTAGATCGGCAGTGGCCTCTGCTCAGATAGGGTGCCTCTGATGGATAGACAGGTCTCGTTTGGGAAAAGGGTAAGGTGTTCAGGTTGTAGCAATGATGCCGTGTGCTCTCCCCTCAACTAAACCCCTTCCCTTTATTTCTGGTCCACCAGAGTGTGCCCTGGAGGATGAAACGTATGCAGATGGAGCTGAGACCGAGGTAGACTGTAACCGTTGCGTCTGTGCCTGTGGAAACTGGGTCTGCACAGCCATGACCTGCAACGGTGAGCTATGGCTTGGGCAGAAAGAAGGACAGCAAGGAGAGAGTGTCATGAAATTACCAGGAGAGAACCAGGGGGTAGGGGACGGAGAAGAGGGTGGTGGCTGGGAACCAGGAACCCGGGGAGCAGGTGACACACCCAGACTTGCAATGTTGCCATTGGTGGGCAACCACGAGGACAGAGCACTTACCCCAGATATACGGAGTCTGAAAATCATCCAGAGGTTTCAAACAGGAAACCTGGACCTGGGGCATGAGTACACATTGATATGAAAGCCAGAGTCAGGCACTCTTTTGCACACTTTATATATTAACCCACTTAATCCTATGACACCTTAGGAAATACTTGGTAAAAAAGACTCTGGTGGTTGGAAGACAGAATGACTCCTCTTTGCCATATTCAGCAGATAAAGGGAAAATGTAGATCCCTCTTTCAAACTAACAGAATTGAGTTTTTCTAAAGAGAGAAACAGAGGGTCCAGCAGATAAGCATGGAGGCTAAAGCACTGGATACCACATAGCCATCTCCGTGGTTCGAGTCCCAGACCTGGTGACTTGAAAATCACACCAGGTGCATATATATGCATGCCCAAAATCCTAAGAGGAGAAGGGACTGCGGTGTGGCCATCCCCTCTGGGGTTTAATTTTTCACTTTTTTTTTGTCTCTCTGTCTCAGTCTCTCTCTCTGTCAAGTGTATGTGCCCTATAGCAAAAAGAAAGAAAGAGAGAGAGAAAGTTGAGACCTGGGCAGGGTGGGTTGTAGACATAAAGATCCCAGAGTGAATTTGGGGGACAGTACGGAAGCTAGTGGTATGTTTGAACCACCACAGTCCCATCAGGGTCCTGGTCTACAGTGATGCCAAAGATCAAGAGGGATTCTTAAATCAAAGCTGAGCTCTGGCAAAGAACCAGAAACCATTCAGATTGGAGGCGACACAGAGAAGGGTGTTGAAGCCACTTGGCGTGGAGAGCTATAATGGGTTGGGAAGACAGGTCATTTAGAACCAGATTCAAAAGTTATACCAGATGGGATGAACCTAAAGTTTTATCTTAAGACTTTTATTGAGGATGGGGCCAGCAGGTCACATAATAGTTGGGGCGCTAGACTCCCACATGGCTGACCATGGTTCAAGTTCCAGACCTGGTGACATGGAAGTCATGCTGAGCACAGGTTACATGTGTCACCAAAATCCAGGAGAAAAGTCAAGGAGAGGGGATTGCAGCATGGCCATTCCCCCCTGGCGAGTGATCTCTCACTTTCTCTCCCTCTCTTTCTCTCTTTCTGGCAAGCACACATTCCCAAAAACTTTGACAAAAAAAAAAAAAGACTTTTACTGAGACAAAAAAGAATAAGCTGGTGCCTAGGATCATGCTCTGGAAGATAACTGGGAGACAGATGTCACAAACCCCAGGAGAGGTTCCAAAGAGCCAGGGAACAATAGCAATAAAAATAGAACCCAGTGCTATTTAAGGAAGGAGCCTGTCACTGCCTGGGACCAAGTTTCTTTACATGAGGGAAGGCCGGAGGTCAACCTAACAGGACAAGCGAACAACCAGGAAAAGGCTGCTTCTAGAAGTTGTTGGAAGTCAAGGCCAAGCCAGGGAAGCCAGGTTAAACACTACGGAAGCCAGATTAGCTACGAAGCCAACAGAAAATATTTCAAAACCATGGCCCAGCTTGCCTCAACCAGAGAGCACTCTGTGCTTGTCTTCCCCAGCCTTCATTACCTCTCCACACCTACTGGGCCGTTCTGGCTTTGCAGAGGTAACCTTCCATGTCTAAGGCTCAGACAGGTGGTGTGCAGCTGGCTTACAGAACCATGAGCACAGTCTCCTGGACAATAACCCCCGTCACATGCATCGCACAAAATCCAGTTTATTGCCCTCATAGGCTGCCTATTTCCACAGCCATATGCTCTGGACTGCTCGTCCTTCCTCTGAAGTCCCACATTCAGAGCTCTCTGTGGATATAAAGAGTAGTTCCAGTGCTGGTGCCTCAGGGGCCTGAGCACATCTTGGTGTGAAGGCCCTGGATTTGAGAGGAGCATAGGGGCAGCATTCCAAGGCACCTTCAGATTAGTACCTGAAACTCAGTGGCCTGGTCTTAGGTCACAGATTTCAGTGGGACAAACAAGAAGGGGCACCACAATGTGAAGCCAGTTGGAGCCAGGGCCATGGGAAGCAGACTGATACCCGTGTCTGAGAGACAAGTCCTAGCAGTGTTCCCTAGCAGCAAACTTCATGCTTGATAAACAGATTCCTAGGCTCCATCCCACACCTCCCAAATCAGAATCTGCAGAAGAGCAACTTAGGAACCTGTGTAGTTTTTGCTTCTGTGTTTTTCACTGTGCAAATTTGGGAAACATTACTAGAAGCAGTGGTCATCTACCCTGGCGGCACATTAGGATCGCCCAGAAAGCCTTCCAAAAAAATGCTGGTGCCCAGGATCCAACTCACATCAATGAAGTGAAGCACTGGACTCCCACATAGACCCTGCAGTCCCAGGGAACATTGGAATGAAGGCTGAGAAATGAATCCTGGAAGGGAGGGAAGCAATGAAGAACCTCTGAAGGTGAAAACTAGGCAGTTACATTTTTTAATTTGAGGGGGGTGTGAATGGTTGACAGTCACTGCCCCCGAGGAATTTCCTGAGTCAGGATCCAAGTTTTCACCATAGTTTTTCCTGCAGGGTCAGCACCTGGCAAGCATGTGCTGACCAGTTAAAAAAGAAACACTCAGAACAGAGGCCAGAGAGAGACTGGGGGAGGGTACGTTGGCTTATACTGCATTCGCTTGGAGATGTCGGTTACCCTGGGACCTTTCATGACTTCATATTCAGAGAAAGGTGGGTAATTTACTGATCCAGGTTAAATGGGAGATGAATTGAGGATCTATTCAAGCTGCCATTGCTCTGAGCTTTGGTTCTTCCTGCAGGTAAGAATCAGAAGGGGGCCCAGACTCAGACAGAGGAGGAGATGACCAGATATGCCCAGGAGCTGCAAAAGCACCAGGTGAGTGGCAGCCTCTGTGCTGGTTCAAGTATTGCCCTGCCACAGGCCCTGCTGTCACTCAGACACTTCCTCATGCCTCAGGAGACCAAGGAGACATGCTATGTTCAGTCCACTAGATCCTGAATGATACCCACTCACCTGTACTGTAAAACCATGACACAAACACTTCTCTGATGGATTCCAGTAGGTCCCAGCAGGTACAGGTTACTGCTCAGTAAGCAGTTGCATCAGAAAAAATGAGCCAAGTGGTGATTTGCAAATGAGGTGGAAGCAGTGTGCAAATAAGCATGGTCTAAAGAAGCTTAGCGTTTCCCACTATGGCCAGCGTGCTGACCCAAAGACCGGGAACTCCTGAGAGCAGGCTCTGCGGCCTGCTCACTGTGGCCCCTCACAGCAAGCACAAGGACCTGAGATGTAGCTGTCATTCACTGAGCATAAAATTAATGTATTTGGGCCACAGCAAAAAGGATTTAAACTAATTGTAGATCTGGCTAGAAAACAGACTGCGATCGACAGAGATTCTCCTTCCTAGAGAGCGAGAAGATAATACAGAAGAGTTCTGTTCAGGTGCTGTGTCATTAAGGTGAAACCTCCTTGGGGAAAGGGTTCTTCGCAGAAGCATGATCCACTGGCCTATTATGACTTCTCACTTAGTTTTAACAGAGGATGTTGAGCCTTACAAGCGGGTACATAAACCAGGTTTGGCTGTATGAGCCTTCTCTCTGACATACAAGTTTTTAAGGAATATAACGGTCATAAGAACTGCTAAACTATTCAGATGAAATACCTGACAAAGTAAAAAGAACTCTTGCTGTTAAGTAATGGCTTGTATTTGTTGACTGCTACGTGCACTGTCATGGTTGTCATTGATCGTGTAACCTATGACAGTTGTTGCAGAAGCAGAAGCTTCTAATCTTTTGTTTTTCCAAATTTCACCAGTCTTGAGTCTCCAGATAAGTTTGACTACATAAAAGGGAGAAAGAAACTTCATAGGAATTACTTTCATCTAGGGTAGAGAAATGATACCGTGGAGAATGAATTACAATGACCAGCATTTTTACATGTCAGTTTTATGTGTGTTCACTCAGAAGTATTGAGGCAAGAACACAAGTACACTTTCTTTGGCTGCAGTCCCAGGGAACATTGGAATGAAGGCTGAGAAATGAATCCAGGAAGGGAGGGAAGCAATGAAGAATGTGTGCTCAGGCACGTGACCAGGAACTTAATCCTATTGAGGACCCTGGGAGCAGAGTTACTATACCTGTGTGAGAACTGAGCTGGGGTATTTCTGAAAAACTCCCACCACTCAATGACCGAGAGCTGCAACCAGGAAACATTAAGTCCCTGGCATGTTTGGTATTTCTGTCAGCATGGGTGGGTGGAGTGGGCTCCAACAACCAGGAAAAACCCTCAGGCAGAGAAGCAGGTGCTGGCAGTGAGGAGTCATGCCAGTGTACATTGAAACATTAAAGGCAAGGGGCCAGGGGTGGAGCACCAACTGTGTCTGCTGGATACCAGGCTCTGTTAGATTTTCTCTTATTTTACTTTTTTTTTTTTTCTGTAGGGTGTGTGCTCTTGCCGGAGAAACAGAGACAGGGAGACAGAAAGCGAGAAATCACCGCCTGGGGGGACAGCCATGACACAGTCTCTTCTCCTCAGCCATGACACAATCTCTTCTCCTCCAGTATCTTCTTGGGATTATGGGCATGCATGCACATGCACCAGCAAGAGTTTCAAGCCTCTGGTACTCAAACCTCGGTCAACCATGTTGGAGTCTAGCACCTTAACTCCTACACCACCTTGCTGGTCCCTTGACTTTTTTTTTTTTTTTTTCAATTTACCAGAGGGTATGTGCACTCACCAGAGAGAGATAGAATAAGAGGAAGAGGGAGAAAGTACCCCTGGATGGGGTATGGTCACACCACTATCCCATCTGTATTTCTCCACTCTATCAGACTTTGGGCATACATGCACACAAGCCCAGCATGCTTTTCAAGCCATTGGAGCTGAGATTCGCACACAGTTAGCCATGTGGGATCTGGTTCCATTAACCACAAGGCCCTGGGGCCAGCCTTATTAATTTTTTTTTTAAAATTGAAATGTAACTCACATGCCATAAAATATACCCTTATAAATAAGTATACTAAATGATATATATACTAAAATTCAGTAGTTTTTAGATTGTCAGCCAGCACCAATTCCAGAACATATTTGTCTTCCTCAAAAGATACCTAATACCCCTAGAAATCATTCTCCATTCTCCTTCTCCTCCAGCACCTGCAACCATGAATCTACTTTCTGACTCTACAGATTTGCGTATTCTGGATGTTTCGTGGAAATAGACCCACAATATATGACATTTTCTGTCTTTCTTCCTTCACTTAGCATCATATTTTCAAGGTTCATTCTTGTAGATTCAGTACTTCATCCCTCTTTGTGGGCCAATAACATTCCCTGGTGTGGCTGTACCACATTCTATGTGTCCATTCTCCAATTGGTAGCTATTTAATTCAATTATGTTTTGGCGCTGACAAAGATTTACTAGTAAGGAATATTGCTGTCAACATTCTTGTACAAGCTTTTGTGTGGACATGCCTTCAATTCTCTGGGGTATGTATCCAGAAGCAGAATTTCTGGGTCCTGTGGCACTCCGTATTTAACCTTGTGAGGAGCTGACAGATGTTTTCAAAGTGGCTCCCCCCTATGCATCTTCACCATCAGAGTCCCCACTTCTTCACATCCTTGGCAATGTTCATTACTATCAGTTTTTATTTTAGTTGTCCGAGAGGCTGTGAAAAGGTATCTCATTGTGGTTTTGATTTGCATTTCCCTAATGACTAATGCTATGGAGCATCTTCTTAAGCTCTTACTGGCCATTTGTGTCTTCTTTGGAGACGTGCCAGACCTTGTCATAAGACCTGTTACTTCATTACTCTCTTTCTGTAGTTGAGGACGTTGAGGTGCAGGTTTCATAATATGCCCAAGGTCGCCCAGCCCTGATTCATCAGGCAGTCTGCCTCCAGAGCCTGTTGCTCTTAACAATTCTGGGCACTTGCTGGATTCAGAACACTAGAGCACTTCCATGTAGTCTCCTTTCTTCATCCTTAAATGAGGATATTAGGAGATAGGTGTTGGTGCATTGGTAATGCAGTGGGACCCACAGGGGAAAGGTCCCGGACTGCCCTGATCACACTGGTGTGTGTGTGTATGATTGTAATCCAGGCCAGTTTAGACTGGGGGTCGATCACAGTGTAAGAATCTTGTTGGGGGTGCCTGACTATCTTTGTTATGGAAGAAATAAATAAAATAAACTTTTTTAAAAGAATTACTTAATTTTAGGGACCAGCAGGTGGTGTAATGGTTACACCACTGGACTCCCATGTAGTCGACCACGGTTTGAGTCCTGAATCCAGCAGCTTAAACTCAGGCCAGGCACGTGTGTTTGCATGCCCAAAATCCTGAGAGGAAAATGGAAGAGAAGGGATTGCAGCATGGCCATCCTCCCTGGGGGGTGGTTTCTCGTTTTCTGTCTCTCTCTGTCTCTTTGGTGAGTGTACATGCCTAATAGCGAAAATCTCTCTCTAAAAAAAAATTAATTTTATTTATCATTATTATTATTATTACTTAATTTACTATTGGTCACACACGTGGAAAGAGAGGGAGAGGGAGAAGACAAGCTGCCAGGTTCGGGACTCAAACTGCAGTCAGCCATAGCGCCTTAACCAGCATACCCCTTGCTGGCCCCCTTTTAATAGCGACCAGCTGGTGGCATGGTGATTAAAGCAGCTGATTCCCACATGGCCGACCATGCAGTTTGAGTCCCGAACCCAGCAGCTTGAGAAGCACACTGGGCACGTGTACATGAGTACTCAAAATCCCAAAAGAATGGAGGAGAAGGGATTACAGCATGGCCATTCCGCCCGCCCTGTCCCAGTGAGGGGCCAGGGGTTTCCCTTAAGGAAGAGAACTAAAATTCAGTCTAATCATGTACCTGTCAATGCTGTATAAAGTCTTGAAGTCTAGATTAATGCCAATCATTTTTTTCAGTATTTCTATTTTTTTAAAATAGTTCTGTGTATTTTCTCTTGCATCTCAAAGGAAACAGCTGAGAAGACCAAGAGGATGAGCACCAAAAAGATCTAATGAGGAGACGTGTTGGAACCGTGTCTGGAGCCTGGCACCTTCTCCCACTTCAGCGCTGAGTCCAGTATTTGCGAGTGTCTTCTACAATCACCAAATCACCAGTATTTGCTTGTATAGCAACGAGTTTTATTTTGTTTATTTGTTTTGCAATAAAGGAAATGTGGGTGGCTAGCTAGGAGGGGGAAGGGCCTTAGCCTTCATTTCTAGGAGTGCTTTGAGAGAAACTGTTAAAGGGTGCTCTGGGGCTGGAGCAAGCAAGGAAAATGCATCAGGGCTGGGCGAGGGGTAGACTCAGATCTGAACTCCCAAGTCCACTGCAGCCGTCAGTGGGTGGCAGGAAGTTCACGTAATGCCAGAGAGAACTTAGCAGGCTGGCCCCGGAGGAGGGCTTTGGGATGCTCAGTGGAGAGGAGCACGTTCTGTTCCAGCCCCTTCCTGCTGCCAACAGCATGACAGACCTCCAGCATCTGTGTGTGTCCTCTGGGTCCCAACCACTGTGGGTAGATACACAGGCGTCCTGCTCCTTACCCTGTCCCTCAGACTTGGATGGAGTTTCTGGGAGGTGCACCCAAGTGATGCAGATACTTGTATACTTTGAGTCCCCTAGAGACCTAACCAAATTTTTAAAATATTTTTTACCAAAGGTGCTATTTCTCTATAAAAACACTTTTCTTTTTTTGGTTTGGCAAGTTGACTTCATTCTTCAATTATTATCATTATATTATTATTGTTTTTTTTTTAAATATTTTATTTTCTTGACTAGATACTAAGCTTTTGTAATATGTTTCAATAGTCCTACCATTTCAGAGGTGGAAGGAGTTTGGGGCTCTCCCTGGTGCAGGGGCCTGTCTAACCCAGACACCACCCACCCTATCACATACTGGATGCAGCCAGGCTTGGCTCTAGCTACCAGTGAAACAGCTGTCTGCCAGAGGAACAGGGTTGCCTCTGACAGAAGCCAGGGGAAGAAGGAGCATCTTCACATAAAGCTTTCAAGATCCAAAAAGTTAGTTTTCATTAGTTCTGAGAAGTTTAGGTAAATCAGCATTCCAAAGGATGACTCAAGTGCAGCTAAGCAGGGCTTAAAAGGTATACCAGTTTATAATCTGCTCATTGATCTATGAATAACTAGGAGAGTAACTTTGCCCATGTCTTTTCCTATTTCTGGGCTTCAGTTTCCTCAGTGAACTGGTAAAAATGCAATAACCCGTTGATTGATTTGGTAAATAATAAATTCTGTGGTTCCTGTCATTGCATTGGTCCAGTAGGAGAGGGGGGTCCTATGATTTTTCCCTCTTCTCCTTAGGATAAATTAAACTGTACTGTTATAACAAGAAACATCACAGAGCCAAAAACATAGACCAAATCTAGCCTCGTTCTGAATGACCCGTTTAGGTCCTGCTGCGATGGAGAGCTCTCATAGGAAAAGCCTTTCCAGGAAGAAAGTGAAAAAGAGAACCACCCCACTTTGACCTTTGCATTTCATGTTTAACCTCTTGTTGGAAACAGAAAGAGCTTTCTCTTTAGAGATGAGAACAAAAACAAAAAAGGGGTAAAAAAAAATAATAATGGAGATTGAATGTTAAACATGTGACTTGGGAAAAAGTCAGTCATTCAGTTAGTTGTATGTCTTTTGACATCTGGGATTATTAACCTCACTACCATGTTTAAGATGCATTTGGAATAACAAAGATGAAAAACTTGACATTAGATTGCATTTGTAAAAAGCGGATTACAGACTCTCAGAGAGAAATTATTTAGGTTGTACTTCACAGGCAGCTGTGAGAAACTGTTGTGCCAGGAATGGAATTCCTTCTAAATAGTCTTCCTTGTTCTCATTTGAAAAGAGAAAATTCCACTTCGTTTAAATTCCAGGCTTTTATGTACCATTCCATTTAAAAATGCTTTGAACCCCACTTGTGCAGTCTGAAATGTGGCTCCCTGTCCAAGTGCCTTGGAGAACTCACAGCAGCACGCCTTAATCAAAAGTGTTCCCAGTTCTTGGACACGTAGGGAGAGGGCAGGAGTGCCAGTTTGTTTAAAGCAGCAGCCACAGTCTTTTCACCAGTCTCACTTAGAACAGCGGTTCCCATCCAAGACTACCCCACCCTGCGGCCCTGAATTCCCCAGAGCAAGTCCACATTCCTCTTGCATCTGCTGTTTCTGTGTAAATAGGGCAGCTGTTGTCTGCACTGTAGAATCACATGATTTGAGGACCATTCACGGGAAGGCTGCTAAATAACCTAGTTTGGGGAATCTTGCAAAGAGCTTTGTGTGGTATAAACAAACAAGGTTAAATTGGGTTCAGTTCCTTTAGCCTTCTAAAAGCATAGGACTTAGACTGCAAGCTTCCTTGGATTTTGTCCGTGTGTGTGCAGTTTTATCCACATTTCAACATCTGTTAAGATCCAGTGTCCATGGAAACCTTCCACATGCCATGATTCTGGACTCTATCACTGTTTTGGAAAGCAGGACTCCACCTGCTAAGAAACCTATGTGGACCACTCTGAATGTCTTTCCTTTGCACCTATGTTTTAATAGTCAAACTGCAAAAAACAATTTGAATAGATTTCTGTTGCCTATGTGTTTGTGAAAATGTATTTGTATTTAGTAGGCTTCCATATTGCATTTAACTTGTTTTTGTAACTCCTGATTTTTTTTTTTTGGATACTATTGATAAATAAAGAAATTAAAATAATAGTTTTGTTGGTTTCCCTACTCCCTCAGTTAAGGCCAAATAAAATTTTGAAAACAAGAACTGTTTACTTTATAGAAAGCAGATTGGATCTCAGGAGCCTTGTACAAAGGTCTCAAGAGTTTCTCCTAAAAATTTTTGAGACTGCAGCTGGAAGGAAAAGTTCGCACAGGCACTAGTAGAATAAGTTTCTCTTTCTTTCTTTCCTTCTTTCTTTCTTTCTTCTTCTTTCTTTCTTTTTTAAGGTTTTTGCCATAAGGCACATGCACTCACTGGAGAGAGAGAGAGTGAAAAATCAGTCCCCAGGCCCACGCTGCCATCCCTTCTCTATTCTCCTGGGATTTAGGGCACACATGCATACGTGCCATGATTTTACAAGCCACCAGGTCTGGGACTCAAACTGTGGTTAACCATGGGAGTGGGAGTAAGAGTCTAGCGCCTTAACCACTACACCACCTGCTGACCCCAAGAATAAGTTTCTTTAAAAGGATTATGAATGGTAGGTGAGGTTGTGTGTGGGGTGGGGGGGGAGGTTTGACAAGAACTCAGGAAATGTCTTAGTCCATTCCAGCAGCTGTAACAAATTACCTTATACTAGGTAATTTATAAACAAATGTATAGTTCTGGAGGCTGGGAAATCCAAGATCAAGGCACTAGCAGATTGAGAGTCTGATGAGGGTTCACTGTGCTCCAAAGAGCTTGCCTTCTTACTGTGTCCTCACATGATGGAAGGGTATTACACTTCTGACCTCTTTCATGAGGGCACTAAACCCGGTCATGAGCATGAGGGTGGCTCTCTTGACCTAATCTCCCAAAGGCCATATCTTAATACATTGCTTTGTGGATTAGGTTTCAACATCAATTGGGGGGGAGGGGGGGGGTATACACAACATTCAGACTATGTGGGAGCATTCCTTTATTGAGAAGTTAAGTGACTCCTAAAGTCCCTATGTTTAATGAGACTGGAATGGCATCCAGTGAAACTGACTGCAGGTAAACCTGTGAGAAAACCAAATAACCTTGGGAAGGTGGTTTAGGAACATGAAATCATTGCCAGTGTTGACCTGGTAACCTCAATGGCTTTCTTTGATACACACATCCCAGTGAGGTAAAAGTAGACTGGGTGTTGTGTGGTTAAGACCTTCTGTTCTGCTTGGAGACACACGACAGATCTTACTTTTCTAACTCAGTGGTTTTTGTGCGTATCATGTACTCCCCACCTGCCATGAATCTATCTTCCAAAAGAGCACATTGTAGTTGAGGTTTAAGGTTTCATTTTAGTCATATGTGTAGAAATCTTGCTTCCCTAAAATTAGAGCCACATCACCTTGATCAAATTTAGGGTACTACCCAATGCTAATCAAATATGAAAAGGCAATCTTTTGGTTACATTGTTCCTACAGACTATTGACCTCTTTATCACAGTTTGATTCTTAGCATTTTCATTCACAGGGAACCTTAAACCCAGTTTTAAGGGTACCCTGTCTACAACTACTTTAAATCCTGCCTGATTTCTCCCAACTACCAGGCTCTGAGAACACTTTTCTTAATGTTACAGTATATAGTGCTCAGGGAGTGAAAACTCATTTAAAAACACCTAAATAGCATAATTCAGAAAGTTAAGTTTTTCATAACCAAAATTTAATATTATGCATCAATTGGTGATGTGGTAGTTAAGATGACTGGATCCTACATGGCAGACTATTCAATTCGGTCAAGACCTGGCAGCTTGAAAAATATGTCAGGCACGTATGTGTTTCAGGTCCAAAATCCCAGAGGAGAATGGAAGAGAAAGGATTGTGTCATGGCCAACCCCCATGGGGAGAGAGCGCTTTCTCACCTTCCTCCTCTCCCTCCTCAGAGAGTGCATGGGCTCTATTAGTAAAATTTTTAAAAAATTCAATATTATGAACTGTGCAAATAAGTATAAATTATTTTGATTAGCTTTAGTTTCAGAGCACCTATATCAAGCTCCCATAAGTCCTCTTGAATTAACTCTGAAATAAGGGGAGAGAGGAGAATGTGATTGAGTAGATCGGCTTAGCAGATGTGCTCAGAGCCCTACAGTAAATTTCACATGAATGTGGGGCATAAGGCAGTAAATCCTGGACTCAGCTGCTGGGGGCTATTCCACAGTGTGACATAGGAAGCAAAATGTTGCTCCAATAAAAAAAGAAAGAAAGAAAATAAACAAGTATTTGAAGTTTAGACAATTAGATGTCTGGTGTCTGAACAAGAATATTCTAGGTGAAATAGAGCCAGTGCGGGAGTGTTGGCTGAGCTCTAGTGAGTGAAGGAGATAGAAGCAGGCAAGAGGGCAAAGAAGCAGGATAAGGGATTGAGCATGAGGAAGGCATATCTTGTGGTCCCCACAGGCTGCATAGTGACTTTGGTTTTTATTCTGAATGCTGTGAGGAGCCTTTAGAGGCTATTACGTGAAAATAAGTAGGGTAAATCCTAGCTGATCCTTACTTCTGCATGTATATTCAATCATCATCAAAACCTCCCTTGATACCTTTTTGATGATCTGAATTATACCATCTTTCACGCATTACCCACCAGGCAGGTTCTACCAAGATTCCGATACAGAACAAGAAAAACCAGGGGTTATTTACTATAATTCATGTTGTGAAAGAGCTTTAGGTATGTAAATACCATTTGAATCTGTGAAAAGGAAATCTGCAGGAACACACAGTTGACAGGTAAGGCCTTGGAAATCCAAACAGAGACCATGCAGAATTGAACAAAGTTTTATTGAGTACTGACTGTGTATGAGGCAGTGGGAAGGGGACTAGGATAATCAAACATAGTTTTTTCCATCAGATGAGCACTTTGTCTGATAGCTTGTAATCTTGCTATAATTTAAAAAACAAAAAAAGGTAACTAGTACACATTGTTACAAGAACAAGATCAGTGCTGTGGAATCCACAACACTGGAGGATGTATCTAAAATGAAAAACAAAAAACCTGAACAAGTAGAATCAAGCTAGTAGAGATCAATAGAGAAGGAATAGCACATGCAAAGATTCAGGGAATGTGGGAAAATCAATACGCTCCAGACCCAGACTCGGGTTTGAATCTCACTCTACTACTTAACTGTTGTGCAATGGGCAAATTAGATTCTCTGTGCTTAAGTTTTCTCATTTGTAAAATGGAGATAATAATAATCTTATTAATATTTCATAAGGTTGCTATAAGAATTAAATAAAGTAAAATGCATAAAAAGCTTAGAACATGGCTGATATGTGTTAAGAGCTATCTGAATACCAACCTTTGTTGTCGTGGTTGCTATCTTTTTCTAGAGTATGAAGCTAACAATAATACTTTGTAATGCTGCTGATGAAATGAAACAAACATGTGAGTACCTTGGCATATAGAGACTGTTGACAAAAAGTAGTTGTTGGCATTATGATGTACATTTATGACATTTATACATGATATTTGTACAGATTGTCTCTTGAGAACAATAGAGAGCTCATGGCAGGAGGAAGTTATGATCACATTTAATTTAAGAAAGAACCATTTACCGCAGATGCAGCAGAGTCGGAAAGGGGTAATAAGATCTAGCAGTAGTAGATAAGTTAGGCTATTTCAAGAATAGACAACTTGGTAGACAGCGGTGCCATTTCTTGAGACTGCAAAAGAACCAAAGTCACTCAGAAGGTATGAAGGAAGGGAGAGAAAGAAGAAGGGAGGGAAGAAAGGAGGAGGGAGGGAGGGAGAGAGGAATGGAAGATACACAGGATGAATCCGAGTCTCCATGAGACATTCAAATGGAGATTTCCTATGAGCAGTTAGTTGGGTAAAAAAAAGTTCTGGAACAGAGCTGGGCTGAAGATACAAATGTGGGAACAGACAGCATGAGAGATGGTATTTCTGTGTGGGGACAAGATGGCCCATGGAGCATGTATCAGGGCAGAAAAAAATGGGGAAGAAAGAAGTACTGCTGAATTGGATGAACCTAATGTAAAGAAAGAAAATCCTTTTGAGAAACTCTAGGGGTATATGTGTGTCTCTGCTTCCTCATCACATCATTAACAAAAAGCATACACAGGTAGAAAAACGGTACAATGGGTTGGATTCATGTTTGAGACTGTAGCACATAGAGAATCCAGGGAACAAATGACGCTGTGGATTCTATCCAGAAGTCAGAACTAATAAGGAAACACCACCATCCACGTATAGACCAGAATAACAATTTGCTGGAAGACAGATCAATGAACTTAGGAGAAAGGAGCAAAAACTGCACCCTGGCAGTTATCACTGGAATGCACAGGTCTTATTTGACCTCTTGTGTTCAGAGCAGAGACTTACAGAAACTTGACATGTTAGAGCTTGTGAAAGAATACATTGCCAGGAAACATAAGAAAGATGGAATCATTCATGAAAAAAAGAATAAGATATTTAACCAAAGAACGCGTACAAAACTGTCAAGAGAATGAACGTAACATGTCTGATAGGAAATTTCTGCCTACAAAAGGGCCCTTACCTGCCTATTATAGTTCCTGTCCTTATTTTAAATCACACAAGTTTGCAGAATTGATCATTTTTCTAGAAGCTGGGATGATCCAAAAGCTACTTGCTTTAAAATTCTTCTACCAGACGTCACAGTCAAAGCTGGTAGCCAGTAATTTTGAGATTCTCACATATTCTTTGCCCTTCCCAAATGCCAGGCATTCTTAATTTCATGTGTCAACTTCTTCCTCATCTATGTCAGAACATGGTTCTTATTGTGATTGATACTACACTGTGATAAAATATAATGTAATGTTACAACCAGACTTCTTGGGCTTAAATTGTAGCTCTACTCTTACCCTTTATACTTCTGGGAGTTATTTTCATTTCTCTGTGTTTTAGTTTCTCTTTACAGTGGCA